GCAGAGACAAAAGACCACACAGCTCCAGAGACAAAGACAAAAGCCTGGAATTTTCAAAATCCCAAGAGGTTCATGCTTGTTGCCTGCACTTGGGTTGCAATAGACTGCCTGCAATATTCACAATTTTCCTTTACTCAAAATTATTTGAGAAGATTTTGTTCCTAACAATCAAATTAACCCTTGATGGATATAAAATTATAAAGAGGGAAAATGCTAGCTGGAGGTTCTGGTGCATCTTTTAAAAAGTATTAACAAAAATGCCAAATATTAATAGAATTTATTTCTTGTTAGAACTAGGAGCAATTTTTTTCTAGCTTAAAATTTTCTTTTTCAGCCAAGTGTTCAACAAAGAGCATGTTATTCTTATGTAAGAAAAAGAAACTTGAATAAATAAGTCAATTCTGGATCCAGATAATCATTTCAAAGCTAAAGGTGATGGGGGATGTCAAACCTTGTTTTAGAGGACACTAGGGATTTTTGTGGTGATTCCAGAACCCTCAGGTAAGTAAAGGGGAGCACAACCCCTATAATCAGACTTTCTCAGTCTCTTGTACCTCGCAAGATCTTCCTTAATTCCCTTCTCCCTCACTTAGCATTGGAGCTTCCACAGAATTTTAACACACAGCAAACTACTCCCCCATCCCCCATCCAATCAGGTCTTCCCCATCCCCCATCCAATCAGGTCTTCAGCCAATTGTATCAGAGTGAAAACTTTCCCAATCCAGGCCTAGAGTTATTTTCTTCTACTGTTGAGAGCAAGAGTGAAGATTCATCCTCCTCAGTGATACAGCTTTTTGAAAAGGGCAACTTCCCCACCATTAAGAAGCAGAAGTTGTATGTAGGGAATATGAAATATGAATCAAACAAAAAACAAAAACAAAAAGTTGAGCACGATGGCACACATCTACAAGAGGCTGAGGCAGGAGGATCGCCACAACTTAAAGGCCAGCATGGCTACATAGTGAATTCAATGTCAGCCTGAAGTACATAATAAGACCTTGTCTCAAAAACAAACAAACAAAAAAACCTAAACAAAACGAACAACAATAACAAAAACATGCAAATAAAAGAGCAAAGCAACGTTTTTTTTGGTTCTGGGCTCCAGTCATTTTCTGAAGTGCTACTAAATTTGTGCTTGAGTACAATGAAATCCCTCTCTTTACATCAAGTTCCTCTTTTCTGCTGGAGCTAGCTTTTCTGTTTATTTTTGTCTTTTTGATACAGGGTGTCACTATGCAGTTCAGGCTGGCCTGGAACTCAAAACTACCCTCCTGAGTGCTGAGATTACATGCATGCACCATCACACACAGCTAGCTTTTCTACTTGAGAAGCAGAAAATTTCTGTTGTCTACAACCAAAAATATACACAGGCCCCATATCAATCTGACTAGCCATTAAGATTCCATATCGGATTTTTACTTACAAAGGACAAAAGTTTCTATATCAAAAAAAAGTACTGATTCTAATTCAATTTCATTTTCAGTGAGAAAATTAAAGCCCAACTTCACAAAGCAAAATCAGGGATTATCTTCACTGAAAAATGAACCTCTAAAAAATTCAGACACACTAAATAATTTGTTCAAAGTCACAAGGATACAAATCTATAAAGTCCAGCTCTAGACACTAGATTCTCAATCACAATTCTATGCTGCTTAGTAGGGATTTAAGAACAATTAAGTGGCATTATTTATGTATTTATAAATTTATAAGTACAGGCTTTCTGTCACGGCAGAACAGGCATTTCAGTCTCTCAAGCCTATGATTCAATAACTACTATTTTGTTTTCTTTTTTTTTTTTTTTTTTTTGAGACAGGGTCTTGCTGTGCAGCTCAAGCTGGCCTTGAGCTCACTTTGTAGCCTAGGCTGGTCTCGAACTTTCAATGATCCTCCTGCCTCAGCCTCCCAAGTGCTGGGATTACAGGTGTGAGCCACCACACAGGGCTATTTTGTTGTTTTTTAAACAGGGTCTCTTTTCTATGAAATTCAGGCTGGGCTCTAACACCCACCCAATGATCCCCCTGCTTCAGCCTCCCAACCAGTGGGATTACCAGCTCAATACCTATCCTTCTGATAAGACCTTCTGATAAGGTGGGCTCAAAAATAGTACTGTGCAAATTCAGTACCCTCTTGTTTTAAACTTCCCTTTCAGTCTCGTTGGTTGTACATTATAGGTTGTAGAGCTGGAGATACCATATGGCACTTCTCCAACACAAGTCTATAGTTCTAGTCACATTCCAGCCACTCTCCTAACCATTATCAACATGGATATAGCTGCAGTCCAAAAATGAAATATATTTTTCAACTATTTTGATATACTAGCTACTAGGGTTGGGGATTTAGCTCAGTGGCATAAGCACCTGCCTTGCAAGCAGGCGGTCGTGAGTTCAATCTAAGATATTAAAAAAAAAAAAGAGGATATACTGGCTACCAATTTGTATTTATTTTCATTTTTAAGCCCATATGTCTTATCAGAAAGATAGGTATTTAAAAAATTTAAAAATAAAAAAAAAAAATTAAAAAATTAAAATTAAAAAAAAAAAAAGATAGGTATTGAGCTGGTAATCCCAACTGGGGGGCTAAAGCCAGAGGATCATTGGGTGGGTGTTCAAGGCCAACCTAGATTTCATAGCAAGACTCTGTTTAAAAAACAACAACAAAATAGTAGTCATTGAATCATGAAGGCATCATGGCTGCTGGGTACCACAGCACATGCCTGTAAATCCGGCTACCCAGAAGACTGACAGGAAAGGATCCAAAGTTTGAGGCTACTCTGGAGAACATAGGAAGATCCTATCTCAAAGATTAATTTTAAAAGGAGGTATCTGATTCCATTTTTCATATGTCTCGATTTCTTTGGATCTTTTATTAGGAATTTCCTACACTCTGATTCAAAATTATTTTATCCCCATTTCATCATTCTATACTTTCCAAAAGTAATAATCCTTAATCTGAAAACAGTTAAAGGTCTATGGATAAACCCAAATTATTAAAACATACATATAATTTTGTTTTAGTGAGCTTTTTTCCAGTGAAGAGTTCATGGTATTCATTGTACTATTTTTTTCGTGGATTTAAAAAAAAGTCCAAGGCTGAGGATTTAGCTCAGTGGAGTAAGGGTCTGCATGGCAAGCCTGAGGTCCTGAGCTCAATCTCCGATACCAAAAAAAAAAAGGAAGCTAAATAAATAAGTAAATAAAACTTTAGCCTAAACACTGCTGCGGGTGGAAGGCCAATCTGGGCTACATAGTGAGTTCAGAACCAGCCTGAACCTACCATAGCAAGACCATGGCTCAAAAAACCAAAAAAAAAAAAAAAAACAAAGAAAGAAAGAAAGAAAAGTACGCTCTGTACAGTACTATACCTATATGAAATGTGGCACTTCAACTGTTAAATATTGTTTATTTGGTAAAAATAAATAAATATTAGTAAAGACTCCCAAATAATGTGAAAGTAAAAAGATCTCCTTTAGCTTTTTTGTGTGTGTGTGTCTTTTTCCCTTTTTATCGGTACCGGGGATCAAACTCAGGACTGCCTGCTTTACAAGGCAGGCGCTTATGCCGCTGAGCTAAATCCCCAGCCCCAATCTCCTTTAGCTTTTAAAATTGCAACCATGTACAACCCAATCCTATGCTTTCTAGTAAAGCTGTATTTTCTGAACATAAAACTTTAGGTTAACTTGTCACTGTAAATGATAAATGGCTTATGTCTTCTTCAGCTTTTGAGAACCGCTGTTCTTTTATTTTCTTTCTGTTTTTGGCTTTGAAATCACAGTTCTGCCTCAGCCTCTGGAGTGCTGGGATCATTGCTGGTCGCACCACCACCTCTGGTTGTTCCTGTCTTAGTAAGATAAAAGTATGGCTCATGTATTTACTCATTCATTCTTTTTTTCTTTTAAAGGAGGAAAGGTTTATTTCAGCTCAAGTACTCACTCAACCTATCCCGTATTAAAAGTCACAACATTTGATCTTGCTGATTCTCATTGTTTTGGTTTTCCAATGAATTGTCTCAATCTACAGGTACAGCTTATATTTATATATCGAATAACTAGCATATTGCCTAGTAGATCTTGCTGGGAAATCACTGTGAAATGACAAAATACTGGGAAAACAGGTTCAATACAAAAGTGAGCTTCCCATTAAGAACAGCCTGCCTTCTCTCTGACAATTCTCTAAAGTCAATTTAGGCCACCCAAGTTGGAAGATTACGTTATCACCACCAAACCACAAAAAAATGCACGCTTCTGATAATGTTTTCCTTGGACACAAAAGACAAGCAAGTGCGGATGTTATAGAAAGGATGCTAAGGAACGTCAAAAAATAAGACTAGGTCTTCCAACACGCGATGCTCAAAAACGAAAAAAGTCAGATTCACAAGCAAATGGTTTTCCCTATACTCATCATGACATTTCAGGTCAATTCCACAAACAATAATAAATAACAGAAACAAAGAAACAAACAAACAAACAAAAAAAAAAACCGAAAAGGAGAAAATGCATGTGGAGATAAGCATTTCACCTCAGGCTAAGTGGACTACCCTAAGGATTACTGAAATCGACCAAAGCAATCTTTTGAGTCTTCAAATTTGTAGCATTGCAAGTTTGGCAACTGTAGTTCACCGTATGTCTGGGGTACTGTTCTCTAAGTAGAAAAGAGTACCAGACAAACATTCTGCCTGCTACTTCTCTGGGTGCTGCTAACCCTTTTAAGTTACTCCTTTGACTCTCGGTTAAAAAAAAAAAAAAGACAGAAAAAAGAAAAGACAAACACCATCAAGTATTTAGGAGGGGCCTAGAGAAAACTTTTCACCCTTCGCCGCAGTCCAACATCCTCCCACGGGAACTGCTGATGGACCGCAGCCCCGCTCGAGCTGCCCAGGGTCTGCCGGCCACGCCCGGATGCGCGACAGCTGGGGTCCTGGCCAGCCGGCCGCGGGCCACGGCCTTGAGGAGCCGGCCCCGGCGCGGGGGCGAAGCATGGAGACAGGGTGCGGCCGGGCCTCACCTCCACGGCCTGGCCCAGCTCCAGGTCGAAGCCCACCACACACACGCAGTGCAGCCAGGCCGAGAAACCGTCCCAGCGCAGCAGGCCCCGGCCACGGCTATCATCCTCTTCCTCGCCCTCCACCGCGGGTCCCGCTGCCACAAGGGTCGGTGCTTGGCGCCCCCCGGCCGCCGCCACAGCCTCGTCCACCAGCTCGTGGGAGCTAGGCCCCGAGCCCGCCGGGCCCCGCACAGCCATCCACCGCCCCCTGGCTGTTCGCGCAGCCTCCACTGCGGACCAAGCCGCAGAGCGCGCTGGACTCCGCGCACGCGCAGCAGTGGCAGCTGCGTCGGGGCGGGGCCACAGGACACGTGACCTTGGGAGCGTGCTGCGCAGTGAGTGTACCCACCCTCCTCGCCTGGATGCGGACGTGTAGACGTCACTCGGTGCGGGTCTAGGGTTGTGGAGCAGACCCAGGACTGCTTGTCTGAAAGCTCTTTGGGACTGGGCGGGTGGTTTATGAATCTCCGTCACTTTCGTTTGCAGTCCAGTGACCAATGCATTATTCTTGGAATGATGCCATTCATACCCATAATAAAGTGTTATTCAAGTACTAAAACGTAATGGTAACTGCAGTTAGCAAAGATTAATCCAGTTATAAGACAAGTGCAAATGTTTATCCATACTACTTTGTCGAATCCTCACATCACTGCAGGTAGATAGACATTCTCAGTACAGGCAAGGAAATTCGAGTTCTGAGAAGTTACATAACTAGTCTAAAAAGTATGACTACTCCCACGGCGGCTTATTACTCCCTCGGTCAGTCCTCTGATTTAGAAATTTGTACCTTCACTTAGCTGTTCCCTCTCCATCTGGACCTCGCCCATTTTTCGTGATCTTAGCTGACTCATTCAACACATCTCCACACCTTTCTGGAGTGCCAGGTTGGGCAGGTTGGTCCTCATAGCAATCCGTGGGTCACACTCTTTGAGCACCAGTGCAAGGACTGGTCTCCAGAAGCTTTGTATTTTCAGAGATCAGCCCCTAGGCTGAGCATTCAAGAGCCACTGGTTCCGTAGAATGGTTACCGCTTATTGCTTGTTACAGCGAGCTACTGACTAGGATTTATGCAGTTCCTACTATGCTGACAATAAACAGGATAGTGAAAGTAAATAGGAAACATAATACCCCAATAGAAAAAATAACAGTAACATAATAAAATATTTTTACAAAGTGGCTCTTATCATTACCTAATCCTCCTCCAAATCCCAAAAGACAGGCCCTATTATTACCCCACTTTACATAAAAGGAAACAAGCTCGAATGATGAAGATGTCACAGCAAGTAGGTGGCAGAACAGAGATTTAAACCCAGGTCTTTCTGACTCATTCTGATCTCCTAAGCATTTTGTTGCAATGCTCAAAGCCACTTCATTTGACAAATGCTGTCCTCTCTACATCCCTAGAATTTTTATTTGGATTAAATGTTGACTTTACTATTTTTCTCTTCCTTTTTTCTGTTGTTTTCAGAGTGAACCACACACCTTCACACTGAGCTACATCACTAGCCTCTAGCCCCATTTTTAGTTCTTTTTTTATTTTGAGACAATCTCACTAACAAACTGCCATTCTCTAAAATGCTGATTTTTATTATTGGGTTAAAATTAACCTTTTCTAAATATTGTACCCTGAAAACATACGAAGAGGGCCAAAAGTTTCATAAGAAATAAAGCAAATCAAGAGTCTAGAGAATTTTTTAAGTGGAAAAAAAAGCCTTCATTCAGTTTGTTTTGGAAAACACACACACAGTTACTTAGACTTTTATATACAGAATCCATAATCATTAAGGAAAATAGAAAGTATCAATTGGCTTTTCCCTCTCTGTCTTTATGATGGTGATATTATACCTTAGAGCTACATAGCAGGGTTGAGTGGGCTCTTGGGGAAAATAATAGCACCTTTTGCTTTCCAAAGCTTTGTCATTAGAACCTTTGAATCTGAATCTCTCCAAGTTCCCCATCCTGTTCATGGATCCTCTAATGTCCAACTGGCCAGCCTCTTTCCTAACATCCCATATTAAAGTTAATACCATGTGGAGCTATTTTCTGGATGTTTACGTGGCTAGAAAATTCTTTCTTTTTTAGAGACAAGGTTAGCATTGTGTGAGGTACACCCACTGGTCTAAATTGTGCTTTCTGTGATTACACAGGAATGGTCTAACTCTTATATGATAGCCCTGTAAATATTTCAAAATAGTTAACCCACACCTCATATCTTCCAGAGTAAACCATCCCGATCTTCCAACTGTTCCTCAAAGGATATAGTTTCCCAGTCACTCATCATCATGTTGCCTGATTTGGGTGTTCTCCAGCTTGTCAGCATCACTCCTAAAATGCAGAAGGAAACGTCATCCTTCAAGTGTGACCCGACCGTGCAGAGTATACCCTGGGACTACTGCCTTCCGGCCATAGCAGCTAGGCTTCTTTATACTAGCTGTGATCACATTTGCTTGTTTTGGCAGCCAAGTCACATCCCTGGCTCAGGTTGCATTTACTGTCAACTAAAGCCCTAGGTCTTTTTTCATGTGAGGAGCACTTAAGCCAGGGTAGGCTTCTTTAGCCAAGAGCATGACTGGATTCAGCTCTGCTGCTCTTCTAATATTACCAAGAACACTGAACACAGGATTAAAAACATTCCAGACTTCCGTATGCAGCCCTAACCAAACTCCTGGCATTTCAGTAATTTTCATAGCTTAAAAAAGAAAGAAAGAAAAATAGAAGAGGGAAGGGAGGAAAATAGGAAGTAAAGGAGGCCTGGGGAGGAGAGAGGGAAAAGAAAGAAAAGAAAAGCAAGAGAAAAGAAAGGGATGGAAAAGATGAGCATGATGAAAGGTGGTATGAATAAGAACATTAGATTTCTGGGCTTACTTTTACCCGAAGGACCTGTAAGGATATCCACCTAGAGTAGGCTCTTAGGCTAAATGTGGCCAGGACTGCTGGGTTATAACTGCAATGCACTGACAAAAAAATAGAAAAATACCAGTATTAGTGGATTATCAACAGAGAACTGAAATTACTGCCATATAGCTCTGAAAGACACAATGCTTATGTGCAGATTTTTGAGTAAAGTTCCTAAGATGAGCTTTGAGGGGCTTCCTAAACAATATTTATGAAACCTTCAAAAAACGATAATGAGCCAGGCATGATGGCTGATGGAAGCTGAGAGTCCCCATGAGTTCAAGCCCAACCTATATAATGAGTTCTGGGCTGGGCTATATAATGAGTTCTAGGCCAGTCTGAGCTACCTAGTGAGATCCTGCCTCAAAGAAAGCAAGATGGATAGTTTCATATTTTTCATTTTTACATATTTTATATCTATATGCCCTGACATCTGGCAAGTAAGTTTTCAGTTCTTATCTCTTCTCTTATTTTATAGAAATATCATATTTTACTGAGCATGGTGGTACATGCTGTGATTTCAGCACTCTGGGAAGCTGAAACAGGAGAATCACAAGTTCAAGCCCAGGCTGGTCAACTTAGTGACTTAGAGCAAGACTCTGTCTCAAGATAAAAAAGAGTTAGAAATGTAGCTCATTATTGTCTTTGTTACTTTTCTCTCCTTGCTGAGACAAAATACTTGATACCCAAAATGAAAGAAGGAAAGGTTTATTTAGCTTAGTTTTTGGAGATTGCAGTCCATACTCAGCTGGCTCCCAGGCAGGATGGTGTGACTGAGGGGCAACCATTCATTGTGGCCACAAGTGACAAGAGCAGAAAGGGCAAAAAGGGAAAAGCACGCCTCTTTCCCTCCCTTATATTGTATGCAAACTACCAACCCTTAGGTGGGTGCAGCACTCACAGGGCCAATCCCAGTGCCAGACAACACACCAATCACAGACAGTAGGCTCAGCCACTTTCATGACTGCAGGAGGCTTTGGGAGGAATATCCAGACATAAAGCATAAATGGGAAGGCTTTGGTTCAATCTTCAATAACTCACATGTACGCAAATGCAGATAAATATCATATTTCATTATTACCTTACTAAATTGACCTTTCATGGTCAGTTGTACAAACAGATGAAAAGTTAATATTAAATTTTTTTTCTTAAATGTAGTATGCTCTTAGCTTGTGAAAAGTAAAGAGAGTAACAGTGCATTTATTTGAAGATTGTTTTTCCAACTGTCTGACATGGTAATCATGTGCTTAATAAGAACAATGCCAGTCAAAATAGAAAAGATAAGCAGTAAATTCTTCAATCAGAGAAGTGTGAGGTCTTTGCTCACAAACTGTTTTCTTTCAAATTACATTATACTAATTCTGACAGATTTTCCTGGTTTCTTAAACTAAGCAGAATAACAAAGTAGCTGCTTCAATGCTGAACATGACAAGAACAAAAAACAAAAAGGTAAAGGCTAATAGAATGGAAGGAAAAAAGAAAGTCAGAAAATGAGGAGTTCAAAAGGATAAACAATAAACTACTAATAGTGATTACCTCATAAGGAGCAGAAGTGTTGGAAAATGAAAGCATTGCTGAGTAGAATAAGGGATTTTGATTTTTTTTTTTTTGTACCAGCAATTGAACTCACAACTTCACGCTTGCCAGGCCGACGCTTATAACGCTGAGCTAAATCCCCAGCAGGATTTTGCTTTTTAATTTACAAAGTTATGTATTGTTTTAGTTACTTAGAGAATGTATTGATTTTGTAATTAAAGCATCAATAGATATAAGAGTATAACAAAATCTTTATAATAGTAAAAAATTGAAAACTATCTAAATGTCCCATAATATAAGATTAATTTAAAACTATCATATAATGCAGTCACTAAAACTGTGATGAATTGTTTGTGATATGGGGCTGGGAATTTAGCTCAGCGGCATAAGCACCTCCCTTGCAAGCAGGCAGTCGTGAGTTTGATCCCTGATACCTATAAAAAAGAAAAAGACAAAAAAAAATTGTTTGTGATAAAAATAATCAAAGTATGTAAGAAAGAAAGGATATTTCAAAATAAAATATAATGAACATTTCTTTTTTGCACAGATTATAAACCAAAAAAATAAAATCATGAGAATATTGACCATTTCCTTCCAGGTTCTTGAGAATACATAAAAAATACCCTGACCTAGGAAAAAATTTTTGCTTTTTATTTCCTCTGTGTAACATCTACGTAAATAAAATATTTTTTGTTTGTTTGTTTTTGGTACCAAGAATCAAACAGGATCCTGTACTTGCCAGGGAGGTGCTATGCCACTGAGCAATATCCCCACCCCTAAAAGTTATTTTTAAGCTAAAACAAAGTCCAAGTAAAAGAAATTTTAATATTCTCACTAGTAT